TCAGGCGCTGCCTTCCTCGTCACCTACCCCAGCGGGCAGACAGTCACAGGCACAGGTGCACACCCACAGGCACACACCTACAACTCGGTGCATGGAACAGCATGGACAAAAGTGGCCCCGAACAACATTTCTGGTTATCCTTGCAAGGCTCCGTGTTTAGGGGGCTCCTTGGGGGCCCCAGGTGTGCTAGACTCTGCCCTGATTTTAATCCTGATCTGCGAAATCCTGGCCCGGGGAGATAATGGGTTGCTTTCTTAGCCACCGCATTTTACCGCATTTTACACTCGGGCCTGGATAGGAACATGGTAAGTGCTCTTTACAAAGGGAGCAAAAAACTCAGACTTTCGTGGCTAATGAATCGCCTTCCGTGCCCACAAGGCCACTGTGTGACCTTTTCTCCACCCACTTCTCAGGCCACTTCAGTCATGAGAGCTACCATCCTCGCTCCCCACCTGCACAGAACACAGCTGCGCCCACAACACCCACGGCCTCAGAGGAGGCCCTCGGGCAGCACTGCATTAAACCGGTGGTTCCCACGTGGGGCGCACGCCCCCCCCCCCCCGCAGGGCAATGTGATGTTTAAGGGGGGCAATTCGAGAACGAGTTATTCACTGTGAGTTTTTTGCATTTCTTATGGTTCTAGGGGCCTCATATACAGCATATAAATATGTATGGTGACATATTTATGCATTTTGGTTCTCTATTATATGTTTTGAAACTTTAGTTGCTCTTTTTTCCTATCACTTCATATGATTTTTTTTTAACCATTTCTTAGGGATTTCTTCCTCATACTTCAACGGTCCTTTCGTTCTTTTGTTTTTCTCTCTCATGGATGCCATGTTCTTTGGAAGCTTGTTTAGACCAAGTTCGTGGCCTTCTAGGCTTCCTCCACGTGAACAGGAGCTCACTTTTTGAATAATGAGAAGTCTGTGTCACGTGGGAGGGTGGGGGGGCATCAGGGTTTTAGAGATGCTCAGGTGGGGCGTGGCCATAACAGGCTGGGAGCCACTGCATTAAACACTCAGCGGGCGGGCGAGCACGCGGCGCAGGGCTGGGCAGGCCTGTGGTGCAGATACCTCCTCTCCTGGACACACCTATGTTCCCACAGGACAGCCGAGACTTGTCCCACCACCAGCCAGGTCACCAGCCAGGACCAGGTCACCACGACAGGTCCCTCCAGGGGCCTAGCAGTCTCTCTCCTTCTCTGCTTCCAAGGAGAGGTGGCGCCAACGAGCCAGACCCCACTGTCTGTGTCCTCACCCTGTCTCCTCCCTCCCTGGGGTGTCTGTCCTCTTTCCCTCTGTCCCCTCACCCTGGCCCCGCCGGGAAATACACATGCTGATCAAGTCTTCTTCCTCCCTCCCCAGACCTCACACCACTCTCACTGCGTCCTCCTCTTTTCGGGGAACACTCCCGAACTTACGAACTTCAAGTGTAGCGCCCGGCCGGCGTGGCTCAGTGATTGAGGCCCGACCTCTGAACCAGGAGGTCACAGTTTGATTCCTGGTCAGGGCACAGGCCCGGGTTGTGGGCTCGATCCCCAGTGGGGGGTGTGCAGGAGGCAGCCGATCCACGATTCTCTCTCATCATTGATGTTTCTATCTCTCTCGCTCCCTCTCCCTTCCTCTCTGAAATCAATTTTATATATATATATATATATATATATATATATATATATATATATATTTAAAGCCAAATGAACTAACAGCTGGAAGCACCTAAGACAGACAGCACCTGTCATACGTGTAAACGCACCATAAACGCTTGCTGTATTCGCAGTGAACGCAGACCAGGCACACCAGGGCCTGCCCAGAGCCTCTGGGACACGCGCCTCCTCGCCTGGCACTCCGTCCGCCCCCAGCAGGCGTTCCAGTTGCAGATTGCACATCCCACTGACCTGCATCCACACCAGGCAAACTGGAGGGCGAGCTGGTCCCTGGGCAGCCCCCTCGCCCTCGCTCTTCTCCCTCCTGGGGCCTCTCCTCTCACATCTGGGTCTGATGAGACTCCACCGGCCTCCCAGCCAACCTGGACGCCCCCGTGAACCCCGCCCCCAGGTATGCGCCCCCCGCCGGTGAATTCCTCCTAGCCCAGGGCTCAGTGCAGGCCCCTCATCCTCCCTCCAAGCTCGGAGCGCCTGGAAGGTGATATGCACAATCATCACTGTTCGCTCCTCCTCGCTGCACTGACAGCGTCCAGCCCCTGCCCTCGGCTGCGGTAGGACGGAGTTGCGGGCTCAGAAACAGCCACCGCTGGGCCAGGGCAGCTGGGCACGTCACGCCCAACAGGAAGGCTCTGCCGTTCCGGAGGCCTCATCCCAGTTCCCACTGGCATCAAACCTCACACTAGGGCCCTGGCCGGTTGCTCAGTGGTTAGAGCTTCGCCCTGTAGACTGAAGGGTCCCAGGTTCCATTCCCATCAAGAGCACATAACTCGGTTGCAGGCTCGATCCTCAGCCCCCGTCGGGGCACGTGCGGGAGGCCACCAATCGATGGGTCTCATCGAGTCTCTCTCTCTCCGTGTCTCTCCCCCTCCCTTCCACTCTCTCTACAAATCAATGGAAAAATATCCTCTGATGAGAATTTTTTTAAAAACCTCACACTATCAATGGATGGTCTCCCAGCAAGTCTTTCTTTAGGAGGCAGCAGAAATAAATATGAGAGGGATGTTGATTTGTAGCCCTACCCTAAAGTGCCAACATGAAGATCACACCAAAAAAGTGGCCCTCGTCCACCGGCCCTAGAATCAGAAGCCCACTGAGCCGCGCGGTTAGTTGGCTCAATGTCGTTTTCTGCTGGGCCCACCGACTGGCAATCCCAAAGGAAGCCACTCGGGCCCCAGCTTCTTCAGATTCACCACCTCCGGCGCGTTAGTCACTGCGGAACTGGCCATAATGGTGCGTGCACAGTCCCCTGCCCTCAGACGCCCGGGAAGTGCCCAAACCCTGAACTCGCCAAAGGAAAGCCACAGCAATGCCCCATCCCAACAGCCACCCGGTAAACACTGCAGGCAGGGCCATCACCAGGTACGCAGGTCGGGAACAGGCCACCTATCCCTGGCTCAGCCCAGGAGCCCAGCTGCAACCTGACACCAGGCCTCAGCCCTTCGCTGCAGCCACGGGGGCATATTCACAGGCTCCTTCATGCCCAGCTCCTTCATGCCCACCCTCACCCAGCGTCAGAGCACCCTGCTCCCGCCCCTCTGCCTCAGGGAGACGTTCCCGAGACACCAGGTCTGAGCATCCCAAATGCGCGTTTGTTTTCCCCCAGATCACAGACAGGCTCCTGAAGGTCAAGGATACGCACTCTCGGGATGCCTGGCGATGCCCACAAATCCTTGGGCAGAGCTGCCCAACTCCCTCCCAACAGGACGAGTCCTAGGAAGCTAACTAGAGTGACCACGGTTCATTTAATGATGCCCATCTCATTGCATGTGTAGGTACGACAACAAGAAAGTAAAAGTAAGTGTTTCAGTTGGAATAGATTCCAGTGGTCTGCAAACTGTGGCTCTCGAGCCACACTCAAGGGACCAAAGAGCCGCATGTGGCTCGAGAGCCACAGTTTGCCGACCACTGGATTAGGCAACAGAATATATGAAACACCAGCTTTCTTTTTTCCTAATTTTTACATTGATTTTAGAAAGACAGGAAAAGAGAGGAACACTGACCTGTTGCTCCACTCATTGGCTGGTTCTTGTCTGTGCCCTGACTGAGGATCGAACCTGCAACTTGGTCTAGGGCAGTGGTTCTCAACCTTCCTAATGCCGCGACCCCTTAATACGTACGGTTCCTCATGTTGTGGTGACCCCCAATTTCATTGTTACAAATTGAACATAATTAAAGCATAGTGATTAATCACAAAAACAATATGTAATCATATATGTGTTTTCCAATGGTCTTAGGCGACCCCTGTGAAAGGGTCGTTCGACCCCCCAAAGGGGTCTCGACCCACAGGTTGAGAACCGCTGGTCTAGTTGATCCGGCTCTACCCCACTGAGCTACCCTGCCCAGGGCTACACCAACTCTTTCAATAAAAGGACATACTCAAGTCCATTCAGTCTTCTCATTCCTTATTATCTGTTGCTTTTATTGAAGAGAGGTTTATCTCTATTTAAGTTGTTACTATACTTATTATTTATTAAGGTATCTTTTTCCTGCAGATCCTTCACAATAAACAGGTCCACACTCTTATCTTACACTCTCAAATCCAAATTCCAAAGCAGCAAGGTAACCAAAGAAAGCAAGTCACACCCCTCTACCCTCCGCAAAGGCAAGGCAAGGAACACTGGGAGGCTCGCAGCACCCAGGAAAATAACTCCCTAAATCAAATTTTAAAAAAAAATCTCCTCACGCACAGAAAACACTGGAATCCAGCTCAGCGTGTCCCACTTTCCAAAACAACAAGCCGCACCAACGAAAACACCCTGAGCGCCAGCAGTAGCCTGTGGCCGGCGAGGCTGAAGCCCGGGGGACACACACTGCCCCGGCCCCCGCTCGTCCAGGGGACGGACGCCAGGCCATGCCGGAGTCCGGCAAGGACGGACGGCGGTCTCCCTGGTCCTGCTCTGGGAGTGTGAATCCCCAACTGCAGTCTGTCCTGGTGGTCAGAGCCAGTACAGACGGACGGCCAAAGGACTGAGGTGTTGACAGGTTCACTTTATCTTCACTTTCAGCCCTGGCTGGGTAGTCAGATGGTTAGAGCACCCTCCCGCTATGTCAAGGTTGCAGGTTCGATCCCCAGTCAGGGCACATTGCATAAATAAGTAGAACAACAAATCGAGGTCTCTCTCTCTGTCTGTCTGTCTCTCTCTATCTCAAATGAATAAATTTAAAAGATAAAATAAAGGTATGTTCACCTCTCCCCAAGCACCTGAGTCTTAAAACAACTGGTACTGTTACTTGCACCACTGGGGAAAAGTGACTCAAACAGCCATAAAGATAGTAGCGTTTCCTCACCAAACTACATGGTTGAGAAAAAAGAAGAAAAAAAGCAGAAACTTACTTTTCATAGACCAGCTCCTCATCGATGGAGAAATAGTGGATATGTACTGTGCTTTTTGGTCTATTCCTTAAAGTAGCAAAATATAAACGATCTGAAAGACAAGTTTAAAAGACGGGAGAAACGTATGAGAAGTGGGGAAGCTGGCGGTGGGGCGGCCACACACACAGGAAGATCAAAACAACACGCGCGCTGCCCATGCCTTAAGGCCGTCAGCACGCGGGCTTCTTGCAGAAACCTGATCTCGCCCAGAAAGCGAGAGACCCAAGGGCACGGCCGCCCCAGAGGCACCCAGAGCACCCGAGGGAGGGAGGGACTCTGCGGGGGGGCAGGGCACCCCGTCGCCCTCGGGTCCGGCCAGCGGGGAGCGCCTGGAAGCCGGGGTCCCCGCAGAACTGGCGATGCACGTTGGGTTCAGAAATGTGCAGCCGCAGGAAGGGGAAGCGAGGCGAGCCTCCCCTGCAGCTCCGGGGACTCGAGAAGAGGAAGGGAGGAGAGACTCAGGGTGTGATCGTGGGGGGTGGGGGGGACTGAACACCGAGGCCACCCAGAGTGAGATCCCGGGCGCCCCAAAGGATCCCCCGCAGCGGGATGCCCGCCCCCGCGGCTGCGTGCGGAGCCGGCAGGAGCCCGAGCTGTCCCCGGGGACCGTCGGGAAGGCCACCGGCGGGAGCTGCGGGAGGGACGGAGGGGACGCCAGAAAGACAGAAGA